TCCGAAGAAATGTTCACTATTCAAGGGTCAACTTTTTGGGGTATGTAGTGTCGGAAGAAGGTATCCGCACGGATCCAGAGAAAATCACAGCTGTAAAGGATTGGCCGGTTCCAAAAGACAAGACGCAGGTTAGAGCATTTTTGGGTTTGTGCTCCTATTACCGGCGATTTGTGAAGAACTTTGCAGATATAGCCAAACCTCTGCATAAGCTAACGAGGAGAAGCGACATTTCTGCTGGGATGAAAGTTGTAATATCGCATTCCAGGAGCTCAAGGACCGTCTGTGCAAAACACCTATTTTGGGATACCCTGATGCAAAAGAATTTATAGTTGACACAGACGCAAGTGATATAGGACTTGGCGGTGTGTTGTCTCAACGGATGGTGACCAAGAGGTCGTGATAGCGTACTTCAGCAAGTCGTTGTCAAAACCGGAAAGGAACTATTGTGTCACAAGACGCGAATTGCTAGCTGTGTTAAAGTCGTTGCAGCATTTTAGCAAATATCTTCTGGGGCGAAAATTTCACTTACGAACTGACCATGCTGCACTAAAATGGCTATTGCAGTTTAAAAATCCAGAAGGACAAGTTGCGAGGTGGATTGAACTACTGCAGGAATACGACTTTGAGATCGAACATCGCAGCGGGAAATCTCATGGCAACGCAGATGCATTGTCAAGAAGACCTTGTCCTGAAGATTGCAAACATTGTACTAGGCAAGAGAGTAAGGAAGTGGTATCCGTGAGGATGCTCAGGGTCGACCAACTCAGTAACGAGTGGAAGGATAGCTTTCAACGTGCACAGCAGGAAGATCCGGACATCAAGCCGATCCTGGAATGGATGAAGGCCAGTGCTCCCAAACCCAAATGGAGCGACGTCTCAGCGATGAGTTCGACCACTAAAAGCTATGGGCCCAGTGGGAAATTCAGGATGGAGTTCTGTGCCGTAAATGGGAAAATGTTCGGGGAGACAGCTGTCATTTACAAATGTTTGTCCCTAAAGCTAAAGTACCGGATGTTCTACAGCTGTACCATAATGATTATTCAGGAGGCCATCTGGGAGTTAAACGAACTCTACTGAAGATCCGAGAACGGTTTTACTGGGTCCACTGTCGAAACGATGTCGAGGACTGGTGTCGCAAATGTACAAGTTGTGCGGCTGTAAAGGCACCTCAGACTCGTAGTAGAGGTGCATTGAAGTTATACAATGTTGGTGCACCATGGGAGAGAATAGCCGTTGACGTGGCGGGGCCGTTTCCGGAGAGTGAAAGCGGTAACAAGTATTTCATGGTTGTGATGGAATTACTTCACTAAGTGGCCAGAAGTCTTCGCCATTCCAAATCAAGAAGCTTCAACAGTTGCAGATAAACTAGTTCATGAAGTCTTCTGTCGTTTTGGAGTACCTTTTGAGATTCACAGCGAACAAGGAAGGAATTTTGAGTCTCAAATATTCCAGGAAACTTGCCGAGTTATGGGTACTCATAAAACAAGAACGACTTCTTATCACCCGCAATCTGATGGAATGGTAGAACGATTTAATCAGACATTGGAGAGGTACCTAGCAAAAGTTCTAGACAATCGGCAACGAGATTGGGACAAGCACATACAACCGTTTTTGTTGTCATATCGTAGCGCTGTTCACGAAAGTACAGCAGTGACACCAGCTTTCGCAAACTTTGGAAGAGAATTACGGCTGCCTGCAGACCTGATCACCGGGATACCACCTGATGCTCCACGCAGTATAACCGATTATGCAAATGACTTGCGGAACAAAATGAATGACGTTTATGAGCACGTCAGACAATCGGGCCAGCAAATGTCTGAAAAGATGAAAACCCGGTACGATCGCAAAATGGACGAAGGTTCACTTGTGTTGTTGCACAATCCAGTCCACAGCAAAGGGAAATCTCCTAAGATTCAAGCTAAATGGGACGGCCCGTACCGGATTGTGACCAAGATCAACTATGTAACCTACCGGATACAGAAAAGCTCAAGAGGGACTCCTAAGATCGTCCATGTGGATCGCCTGGCGCGTTATTATGGGGCCGATAATGCTCGGGACGAGCATGTCTTAGGAGGGGGCAGTGTTACGCGCTTAAGTCGACGGCACTAGCGCTATCTAGTCTCGAACCGAAGAACTAAACTTCTTGAAATTTAAACACGAACTTTCGGTATCTTGTGCGTGTTTGCTTGAATATTCTGGATATTTCGCTGCTAATTTGAGTAAATAGGCGCTGCAGATGCGATCGAGGAAGTATTGGATTCGGCGAGACAAGCGAAGCTTCGGAGCGGAATAAAGTGAATCAGTGTGATTAATTATTAGTGTTTTTAACTTTAATTAGCGTAAAGTGAATTAAAGTGTTAATTTAGGTAATTTTGGTTTGTACGAACTCAAGCTCGTACATGCTTTGGACGCATTTTCTAAGAATTAACTTAGCACATTGCTATCCATCGGAGGTGGCAAGTATACTACGCAGATTGACTGAACATGACTTGGTTTACCATCTATAATTACATCAACCGTAATCCACAAATCTTCGCAGTTGCTCTCCCAATGCAGGCAACGGCTTGATTTTAAGGTATTTTTAACGGCTATCATTACACCTCCCCCCATTTTTGATTCTATTTGAGTCTAATTGCTCCCTTTCTTTCCTGTATACCGTATAGCGATCTTCAATAAACTCACTATCGAACACACCGTCATTAAGCCAAGTTTCTGTAAAAATTAAGATGTCGAAATCATAGTATGTTAAGTTTTACATCACGCGACTTACTACGAATCTCCCTTAAGTTTTGGTAATATGTATTTAATGTATCGTATTTAAACAGAATTTCGATCATAGACTAGACAGATAAGTACTTCACTATTGTAAATCTTCAAGCTGCTCGATGTTACGCACGACAATATGCTCAGAATTATCGGTTTTTCTTAAAAAGACACGACCATTTTTAATCCAGATAAATTTGTATTTTAATTTCTTTGCTGTCGCTCTGGCAAGGGCATGGATTTTCTTCAGCTCCATGGTCAAATGTTCGACTACAAATATAGGTTTTTTGTCGCCACCTATCCCGATGTGGCTTGTATTTAGTTTTTCATTGGTGTTTCTTTTATTGAAATTTATTACTCCGGCTAAGAATGTATCACGAACCCGTGGACTAGCAAATATCACAATAATAGACCGCGGTCGTGGTGATCTTGGTGATTATTGTACATTTATGGATTTCAGCGTCGGATATTTTAGTGCCAGTAATCTTCCCTATTTGTGCAATAATATTAGGTATATTTTCGGCCCTATGTTCCGGAACACATTGTATCTCTAGGTTGCTCATTCTTGAATGCTGCTCCATTATGCTTAAGCGACTATTGAGGTCTTTTACTGTTGATTTAAGGCAATCATTTTCTTCTTTTAGTTGTTTTACATCTTTAAATTTTACTTGCATATCCTTTTTTTAAATCCTCGTATTGGTTAGTAATGAAAAGAACAGATTCCTTTAGATCAGTGATTTCCACGGTTAGTCCCTTTATTTTATTTTCTATAATTTTGCTGATATTGCTTTCAATTTTGTTTATAAATGCATTCATTTCATCATGAATTATGTGCTTTATACTCTCAAGAGTGAGAGATTCCTGACTTTGAGTTAAGTGCGTAGGTTGTGTGCGTCTTAATGTGATGTTACTGCTCGTGTCTTGAGGTGAGATTCCAGAGCTGCGAACAGGCGTGTCAGAATCATGACATTTTGGTTGCTTTGCTCGGCAAGTCTGGCAAACCCAATTGTTTTTAAAATCAGTAGAAAATTCTTTATATTTTTTGCTTTTGGTGTTTATACAATCGTAATGGTATTTAAGACTGTATGTAATACATTTAAGCTGCTCTTGCGTGATAAGTTCTTCAGAGCGCCACATTTTTTGTTTCTCAAGGTTTTTGTACTCATATTTGCGGAACAGGTGTTAACTCAAGTTAGCAAAAAGTTAATACGGTGACTTGCTATAGCTTATTTAACAGGCGCTTACCTGCAATTGAATGTGGTGTGACGTAGATGCGGGGCGATCGCGGGTTGCCCTAGGTCAGGGAGTTTTTGATTTACCGATGTTTTGTAAGTACAAAATGCGATTACTCATAAACCCCTGCACCGACGATCCAAACACTTATCACTTCTTTATAATGAGGACTATATTATGTACCAAAATCGTCAAATTACGTAAAGTTTAACTATACATTTAGATTAATGACACGGATCAGCTGATAGACACTGTTATCGTACAACGCGCGGGTACTCTCTAGACTCGGCAATAGGTGAAGACAAAGTAAAAAACACATACTACACTATATATATATATATATATATATATATATATATATATATATATATATATATATATATATATATATATTTTTTTTTTATATATATATATATATATATACAAAAGCTTTTAATAACAATAAAAAGATGAAAACACACCGTGTAGTACCCTCTTCTTATTAAAAAACGGATCATACATTCAAATAAAGGTACTTATTTAAAAAAGTTATTATCAAATATTTACTGACTTACCTATTGTACTCCTTGAGATAGTTAAATTATGATATATTTTTATTTTTTCTAGTATTTTTCATACACACAAGACAATAAACAACCATTATTAATAATACCACGTTTTTACATTAAAATATTCAAATTTGCAACTAACAAAACAAACAACGTGCTTTGCATTGACCCTCAGAACCTTTGATTGTCCATTGTTTATGCCAGCGTAACCGGTTTTATCCAGTCTCGCCGCGTACGCGACAAGCGGCCAGTGGTCACGCACACATGCCTCGTGTGCTTGTAGTGGTGCAACTGATTCACGCGGTTGTATGAAGTTTTATCTCTGTTCCGTTTATCTACTCATGTGCCACAGCCTCCACGTATCATCAGGTGGACTGTATGGTTCTTTTCCAGAATTATTCTATAAAATATATGTTACGATTGGAAACAAAGAAAGATGAATAAAATATTGATTACCTGGACGGTCTTATCGAACCAGCGGTTGGCGGAGTGGTATTGCGTGCCGGCGCCGTGCATGGCCCGCAGCATGGCGTTGGTGTCGGGGTCCGCGTCTGCGCGGTCGCCGCCCGCCTCGTCCACGCACAGCACGCACAGCGCACGTGAGATCAGCTCCAGGTTCGAGCGATTGTTCTCTTCTGTGACAATTGAATACAACCTGTAAAGTCTCATAAGTTAATGGTCGTAAGCGTGAGCCTCTCAGAGCCTCTCTCTCGTTGGATGAAGCAGTCCCAAGGTTGGGCCAACATCAGTTATCTGTCAAAAATTTCTCAGTAGTATTGAACTTCCTCCGAAGTTGGTGGTGTTTCACCACGTGCCTCGGAAAACACTTAAAACTGTTGACCCTGCGCCTAAACTCTCTCAGGGCGTGTGGGGTTGCCATTAAAACAGGCTATGAAACTGGGGGAATAGAAAGTGCATCTGTGCTTGCGCATACACTCACACGCTTTAATCCTGTCCTGCTGAAATGGCTAGTCTCCAAGTAAAATAGAGGGAAGATCACAGCAGTAAGTCCCAAATTCAAGAATGGATCTTACACCACTTACTACGCGAATAAGTTATAACTGTATTTATGTATGTTTGGGTAGTGTTTAACATCAGACAATACTTAAATAAAACTAGTTTTTACGGATTTTATTGCGTATACTTACTTCGTATTCTCGAATAACAAATAAATAGAAAATAAGTTGATATACAACGATTAAATGCGTAATAACTAATAACGAGTTTTTTTTTAAATGTAAAAAATTAAAGTTAAAATTGCCGACTTTATACGTCCCACTGCTGGCCACAGGCCTCCCCTAATTTCTGAGAGGGTTTTAAGGCAAGGAAGTGTCAATCGCACTGCCCCAATGCATGTTGGCGAATTTTACATGTTTTCGAAATATTTTATTCTTATGTTTCAGACATGCAGGTTTCCCCCACGATGTTTTCCTTCACTGCTGAGCTCGAGATAACTCAACAATAAAAATTGAAATTAAAAATTTCATTGGTACTGGCGGGAATCGAACTCGGGTTGCAAGCAGTGGTAGAGCCACGCGGTAGCTTTGCTGTTGCACGTATGGGCCGGCTCCAACCGGGGTGGTACCACGACAGTGGTGGTGCTCAGGCTGCCCGCCCATCCGGACGGATATCGTATTTCCATCGACGCCCCTTAAGGCTCCTGGGATCATTGTTTTGTCCGGAGTGTGGTGCCACTTACGCTGAAATCGCGGTTGCATTCTGCAGGCTGCTGCCGTGTTTGGCACTATAGGTCAGCCGATTTGGATAGGATGCGGTCTTTCTATGCACCCTACCCTTGGGGGCGGGTTTGCTTCTCGTCGGATAATCCCAACGTTGTTGATGATTCTATCGCTGATGTGGTACTTCAAGGTATGGAACTTTTTATTCCTTCCTCTGTGGTGCCCATCGGAGGCAAATATAAGCCATTGTTCCGCTCCTGTAAAATAGCATCATGCTATAAGCAAGAGTGCTACCGGGCCTGGGCTGACGCATCAATATCCCAGGATGTAAACACAGGCGCTCTAAAAAAGAAGTATAATTCCGCCTCCAGGTCCTTCAAAGGAGTCATTGCCAAGGCAAAGTCAGAGCACATAGACAGAATTGGCGAGAAACTAGTTCACCTTCCTTCTGGAACCCGTGCATTCTGGTCTCTCGTAAAGGCTGTCCAGGGAAATTTCTGTCAGCCCTCTCTTCCATCTCTGCACAGAGAGGACGACTCACTGGCCATTGCCGCAAAGAAGAAAACCGATCTGCTAGGCTCTTTCTTTGGGTCCAACTCGGGGGGAGGTGTGGGGGGGGTGGTTCGAAAGCCCCCTAGACATTCGTGTGTGGGCTTGACGGAATCCCCCAATTGTGCTGAGGACGTGTGCTCTAGAGTTGGCACCGGTTCTAACACGCCTTTTCCGTTACTCTTACTCCCTACGCGTAGTTCCAAAACCATAGAAGACGGCTTTCGTCGACCTGATTCCTAAAAAAGGCGACCGCTCAGACCCGTCCAACTACAGGCCTATCGCCATCACCTCCTTGTTCTCCAAAACAATGGAGTCCATTGTAAACTGCCAGTTCATGAGGTACCTTGAGGATCACCAGCTGATTAGTGATCGCCAATACGGTTTTCGTCGTGGTCGACCAGCTGGTGATCTTCTGGTCTACCTGACTCATAGATGGGCGGAGGCAGTAAAGTCTTAGTGGGAGGTATTGGCCGTTAGCTTGGACATTGCGAAGGCCTTCGATCGGGTTTCGGCACAAAACGCTTCTTTCGCTTCCTTCCTATGGGCTTCCTAAGAAATTGTGCAATTGGATCACTAGTTTTCTGGTTGATCGGAGCATCAAAGTTGTTGTAGACGGTGCAAGCTCCGACTACAAGCCTATTAATGCTGGCGTTCCACAAGGATGCGTGCTATCACTAACGCTGTTTCTTCTGCATATCAAGGATATGTTGCAAACCGGTAACATTCATTGCTATGCAGATGACAGCATTGGTGATGCTCTGTACACCAGCCGTGCCAATATTTCTCGGGAAAACGTCTCCGAGTACCGGGACAAACTTGTGTCTGAATTCGAGTCTTTGCTGAACAAAATTTCGGATTGGGGGCGACTAAATCTAGTTCAATTAAACCCTCAGAAGATACAAGTTTGCGCGTTAACCACTAAAAAGAACCCCTTTGTCGTATCTCCTCAGTTTCAAGGTACTCTCCTTGTTGTGTCAGCCAGTATCGGAATAGTCGGCGTCAAAATATCGAGTGACGTGCAGTTTCTTGGTCACTTGGAGAGAAGGCCAAATTGGCCTCTAAAAAGCTTGGCGTACTCAGCAGAGCGGGACAGTATTTCATGCCGGCACACCGCCTGCAACATTACAAGGCGCAGGTTCGGTCGCACATGGAATACTGTTCCCATCTCTGGGCTGGGGCTTCCCAGTACCAGCTCCTTCCACTTGACCGCATCCAGCGCAGAGCAGCTCGAATCGTCGACGATCGAGTGCTTTCTGATGCGCTGCGAAGAGATGTTGCATCTTTTTGCATTTCTTTCGCATATACCACAGGGAGTGCTCTGAGGAATTGTTCGGATTAATCCCAGTCGCCAAATTTCATGAACGAACTACGTGGAAAACCTCCCGATACTATTCACACCATCTTAATGCTTGGCGGTCCACCACTGTACGTTTCACTAGGAGTTTTCTTCCACGTTCGACTTCTCTGTGGAATAATTTACCACCGGCGAATTTTTCGGACCGATACGACCTAGGGGCCTTCAAGAAAAGAGTTACTCCTTTCTAAAGGACCGGCAACGCACCTGAAATTCCGTTGGTGTTGCGGTTGTTTATGGGCGGCGGTAGTCACTTAACGTCAGGTGAACCTTATGCTCCTTTGCCCCCTCTTCTATATAAAAAGTGTACTGTGAAATTGACAGCGAGCGCTAAGCCACTGAGCTACCACGGCTCATCAAAATAAATCGTTATCGGACAATATTGTTTAGGAAGAAAACAGGAATCACTCAAACCTCTAATGAGTTGCTCCCTAGCCCTGGCCCACTGGTCTCGGCCCATGGATGTCAGGAGACCCACCCTGGGAGCAGACGTCGCCCCTGCTGCGTCCACCATAACATGCAGCAGCTGTGCCTGGATTTCGCCTGGTGTAAGTCGTCCACGATCCACCGCTTTTACAGGAATTGGGTAGAACTATCGGAAAAGGAATCAGTGCAAAAGTTTTTTTTTAATAAAATAAAGTGACACAGGCTAACAACCAACCTGATGATCAGGCTACTGAACATAGCAGCGGTTTTCACCGATGTGTTCCAGTCTGAAGGGTATATATTGGCTAATATAATGACAGGCCGTAATGCATTCAATGTAAGTCCTCAGCAGTGACGACGCATCTGTTGCCTTCTTTTTTGAATTTGGCTGCAGGTGTCCATGGACACCAACAGCCATTTACCATCAGGTGAACTGTCAGTTTGTTTGACACTTCAATTTTATAAAAACATCTGAACTTCCAGCACTAAGGTACTGATGAATTTGCTGATTGCAGTTTTATGCGTTACCACGTAATCGGTGGTGAAGCAGACATCAACATGGAAATAAGAAATGTATTAAAGACGTAGTTTTAAAGATTAAATTGTCAACCTACTCAGGATCGGTGGCGGATTACGTCTTTCAATAAGATTTCATCATAATAACATTTAGCTTCGGTGCGTTCCGTAGTCTGTCTTAAACCGAATCAAATTACGCAAGGCCTCGGCAAACTGTCTAACTGACTAAAATAATAAAGCGCAGCGAACGGCTGCGGCTCCCGGGATGCCGCTAAGTGATTAATTTACCTTAGGGGCCGAAGAAATGCGAAAGTGTATAGTAATTACTATGTTCATAAAATACCATTAACGTTTATTTCCTGTAAAGAAAGTAAGAAGTTGAATAATAATAATATTCTATTTGCATAAAACATGGTAAGTATGTAAAAGATTTTACAGAACCTTTCAGATCTGCATGTTTTGCTACGAATATACATAGCATGAAGTTTTTTTTACATTAATGTTTATGGCTACAAAAATCCTGAGTACTATAGAAATTACAATAATTTAATCACTGACACAATTTTAATTTTAATAATCTGGTATTTAATATTATAAAGTATCTTATTATTTATACAATACGTGTTTATTTATGTGTGTACACTTGTAATGATTTTTTCAATTTACGCGAACACTTCACATTGAATAAAACTATTTATACAGATTTTACCGCGTTTAATTAACTCATTTTTAACCTTAATTACCCATGTTAAAAAATAAGTTCATTAAACGTGATAAAATACGTATAAACAGTTTTATTCAATAAACAACTTTTATTACATTTTCTTATCATAGGAATATCGTTTAGCACAAGCCTATATGAATCTCGGCGACGACGCAGAATTACATCATCTACCGCTGTAAACAACGTTTTGTGCTTATGTACTAACATGCATACTTCATAAATATTAAAGTGATGGTAGTGCTAAAAAGCCAAGTTTTTTGAATACCGGTTGATACGAGTCATTCGGATTTAGCCCACATATCGCTCTAATGCATTCTACAAATGCCTTTACTAGTACATCGTGTCGTCTATTTACAAGTAGGTAAAATCAGTTCTCCAACGATACCGCTTTTACGAAGCGCGTTTTTATTCCTAGAATACCTATTCCTAGAATAGAAATATCATAACACATTAAATAATGTGTCCTGTTGGTTATACTAAATAAAATGAAATAAATAAAAATCTCTTACGTAGTTCCTGCATGCCACAATCACCAACTCCTCGACTTCTTCAGGATCGCGAGGTGGATGCGGTAACTCTAGGCGATCCTTGCCGACTTCTGGGATGCGACACACGCCTAGTAGACGGTAGAACTGCTCCATACACAGCGGTTGGCCTTTCTCACGGCTTGTGGCTCTCTCCAGTGGCAGCTCCCCTCTGAGAGAAAAAAGTCTCCATTATTTTTACTTTCACCAATAATCTTTCGAGTCCACAGTTGGGTGTGGACTTTTAATATAATATGTACACCAGGTAAAAAAAAATTACCAACATTAAGCAAAAGGCCGTCTTATACCGGTAAGCGCATTACAGGGTGACACTTCTGACCCCTGGGGAGCCTCGGGGTAACGACCTGGTAAGACATGTAGTAGATGCAAGTGGTTTAGGATCGTGATTCGTTGCACTCCTTGCTAGTAAAAGGCTATTATGATGATGGTGATGATACATCAGGTGGGATGCATATTGGCTTTCATTAACCACAATTATAGCTGCAGTACAAATGGGTTGACTTGACCAGGAGAAGTACACGCTCGAAAAATGACAAATATCGAAGTAACAATGGTATTTTTGTTATTTAACGCTATTTAATATAACTTTATACGTGATAGAGCTATGCTGCAATTGTATTAGCAGTATAGTTGTAGCACGAATGGGTCGGCTCGACCGGGGAAGGATCGCGCTCTCACAGAGTACTGCTGTGTTTCGTATGGTGAGTGTAGAGAACCGGAGACCCTTTTTACTGGAAACGAGGCATTCGATCTTAGTCCTCACGGATGACAACGCATCTGCATTTTGATTCGTAACCGAAGATAGATGTAGATGTCTATGGGCCACAGCAACTATTTACCATCAGGTGGACTGTGTGCTCGTTTGTCACCCTTTACTATAAAAAAAAACTTCCTGCCTCTCCGGTTGCGTGCTGGCTCACTGCTTTTGCAGTGATAACCATTTCGTATATGTGAGAGCTTTCTATTAGATTATTAGATGATACCCGCTCGCTTCGGTGGGCGCACGATAATATTTTGTTGCGGAACCTAGATGTAAAATATGAAGAATTATTTTTTTGAAAGGGCTATCGTAAAATCCGTTCTTAGCGAGCGTCTATATTGTGAAATGATTAACTACACTAAATTTCAAGTTAATCGGGGTTATAGTTTTAGATATCTAGTGATGAGTTGTTAGTCAGTGGTATTTCGCATATATATATATAATATTCTTTGAATTTATTCTATTATATATAATTTTCTGCCTGTTGTACATATTTATACTTTAGGTTTAACTCTACTCGTTCTTCTGTATTTTGGTGTACAATAAACAGCAAATAAACAAATAAATGTGGTCATAGCCAGTTTTGCATACTAGAATAAAACTCCGACGGAGGTAAGGTTTGTGTTGTGCGTCAAATTGTTTTTTTTTGAACGATAATTATTTTCAGTGATGGAAGATAGAGTGTGTGCTTTTGTGTTAGCTCGCTTGTAACGGTTCTGTAATATCTAGAGTCAGTATAATTATATGCTGTGAAGCAATCCATCTTGGTCATCGGAAGTGACAACACATCTGCAGCTTTCTTTGTCTGAAGTTGGATGTAGGTGTCCAGGGACTGCATAAAGGTACATCCTCCATCTACGGAACTAATCAATATTTAAAAAAAACTGAAACATCTTAATCCCCCTCGTGACCACGGGTGCTGTAAAGCACTCGAAACGTCGGGAATTAAAATTAAGTTAAAATAAGTTAATTAAACGTGATATAATCCGTATATGTAGTTTTATTTAATGTGTAATGTTCGCATAAATTTAAGAAATCATTATCTACATTTATCCCTGTGAACGAAGATGGAATGCCTCGTTTCCAGTAAAAAGGGTCTCCGGTTCTCTACACATACCATACAAAACAGCAGCATTGGACTGTTATTTTCGCTGTTATTCTGTGCGATCGTGATCCTGCCACAGCCGACCTATTCGTGCTACGACCATGACATAGCAATAACCACGTACAAAGAAATTACCGTGAGGTCGACTGTGTGTTCAACTGTCGCTTCAATTTAATAAAAAAACGTGATTGAGATGTGATGCAGCTTTGTTTTAATACAGAATTAAGATTAAGAGGATATCGTTATTATCCTTTCCAGCAAATGAAGTTAATAAAAAATAAATGAAACCCTTAGATGTTTCTGTGCCTCACCGGTCCAACATTTCCTTATAATCCAAGAGATCATCAATGAAGAGTGCACCAAGGTCGGCAACCTCTTCCATTTTGGAAAATTGACGGCGTGGGAACACCATGCCTGGGTTGGAGTTGATAGGAAGAGGCAGCCGTACCTTCAGGTACATATCGTCCAACCACCAGTCTGTCACCTAGCAAAAAATATTTACATACAATTTAATACTGCCAAATGTTTAATATATTTTATGTGAAGAGAGTGTTTTACAGTACATTTACTCGTCTTTTTCATATTTTTATAAGTGGTGTACACATATAGAGTACAGATTCATAACACTATCTAATAATCAATCTCCGTGAACCCTTTACTAGGTAAACCAAACCCGGTTACAGGGTTTCAGACCTTCCATATTGTATAATGATAGACCTTAATAAATTTACAAGCAAACTTAAGTATAAAATGAAATTTTTCTGTCAATCTAATTATACATAACAATCGATTGGTTAGTCTGCTTGGAGTACTTAACTTGTCATTAGTTAATCCAAAATGTGTGTAGATGATACTAGTATATCGTGAAAGTCTATGCTCAACTTAATGATTTTATGTTATTACATTACTTTACATTGTACTTAACTCAGGTTTTCAGATCTGAATATTGCAGAACCAATATTCAGATCTCAAAAACAGAATCAATGACATCAATTCTATTATGAGTATTTATTGTAATTTGAGACTGCTATTTTATAAGCATTTAAAATATTAATTTTAATAGTATATGAAGGGTTATTAAATTAAAACATATGATTATAGATTTGAGTAATTTAATTAAATTTATAACAACATTCATTTAAAGTAACGATTATAAGGTACAGTTGGACTCAGAAAGAAAATCGTCCTTTTCGATCTTCTTGTTGGTATAATCGCTGAAGAGGAGATATTTTTAAAATTGTTTTGCAGTTTTCTTCTATAGGCTTCTTGTAACTTTGAATTTTGAAAACCACAACTAACGGGTTTTAAGAAATACGATTTCACGTTAAATAACCTTTGATCATTAGCGTAATTTGGTTTATCAATATCCTTCAAAAGCTTGTGTTCAGTTGTCGATAGTAGAGCTGGCTTCTCCAATACGTTTGGTAATATTTCAGCTTCTAACTTATTTTGTAAATAAGTAATTTTGTCTTGCCAATACAATGCGTTTGACTTGTGATGAATTTGTATATTGTCGTTGTAATGTTTGGCTCTATTTCTAAGCACTGGGCTAGGCTTAGAGTATTGCTCTTGTGTTATTTTATCGATATCATAGTTTCTGAATATTGGTCTTAAAATTATTTTTCTTGGTCTAGACGTAGCTGGGAAGTGAAGTAAAAGGGGAAGATGTTGCGAATTTGGCATATCCCTTAAAACTTTCTTTGAGTACAATCGTCTCTGTGAAAAAAAATTTTCAGTGTTCATAGTTATAATGTTACTTTCCTTTGGTGTAAAATTTGTATTGTTAATTTTGTCATTCATATTTATTAATATCAGCGGCTTTTGAGTGGTGTAATTAAGTTTTTGTATTGAGTCATTATAAAATTTTCTTGTTTTCAGTTGGACCGTTGTTGTATCCGGGCATCTTATCGTTGCTGTACATTTAATAATTGGATGCCGTACTGTGACAGATGTGACTTTTTCGCTGATATCGTACTTTTTTTTTGCTAGCTTAAATATTTCATTAAAATCTGATGTATGGTGATGGTATTTTTTAAATAAACTGATTTCTTTATTTGACAATACCTTTTTCTTGTTAGCTGCTAATTTAAAGGCAAGCTCTACTTGAGAGTCTAATGAAATATCAAGATCTTCTGGAACTGGTTTGTAAAAATTATATTTAATAATTTTTCGTTTTTTAGTTGTAGATCTCGTAAGTTCTGGTAGAATTCTGGTTGTTGTAAAATAATTGCTAGTGATGCTTAATTTTGACTGATTATTTATTCCCTTTCGTTCCACAATAAAGTTTGAACCACTGAAACCATGAGGAATACTTGATGCGTTTACACTTTTTGTGGTACAAATTGATGTATTAGGATGAATATATTTGAAATTTTTACTGGGAATTACAGTGACTTCTTGATTAATATTTTTGTGTTCTTTATCTGTAATATTTTTAAATATGTAACTATCTTTTAAAGATTTCGTTACAAATTTCAAACTCTTTTTATTAAAAGGCGTTTTTTCTGAGATTATGCGATTGTCTTGTCTCCTTTTAGGCAATTCCATATCAGTAATATAGAAAAATTTGTCAGCGAGATATGACCTGTTCCCACCTATTTCATTTTCTCTTTGAAAAATATAGGAATATGATTTAGTAGTAGTTGAAGGATTCATAACGCCATTTAATTGCTCGAAGTGAGAAAATTTATTTTCAATAGTACTGCGTTCATTGTGCTTTGGAGTTTTAAAAGTATATTCTTTATAAAATTTTTGATTTTCAACTATTTTGTGTTTATCCGCATATTTAGGAGCACTCCTGGTAATGGAGTTATTAGTTATGACAGATTTAGATGTGTGTGATTGTGATTTTTCTTTATACTGTTCAATATTATTATTTAGTAATGAATACTTTTTCTTGCTGGCCATATCCGTAACCTCTGATCTTACTGAAGGTTGTTTGAAAACTCTTGTATTTTCATTAACATGCTTACTCATAGATGTACTATTTAGATCTGAAAGTATGAATATAGGTACAACCTTTTTTAATTGATTCAATATTGTTTGATTGTTATCACTAGCTTGTTTCCTTTTTAGAACTACAACGCTACCAATAACCAATACTTGATCACTGTATACACCACTCATATTTTTCATTTCAATATTTGCTTTAAAACTATGTAGATGTTCTTTAGATTTATTCATGTCATTATTTATATTCCATTTACGAGATTTCTTATCAATACTTTGTAGTGATGTAAAATTATTTTTGTTAACGAGAGTCTGTCCATTATTATCAAATTTCGGCTTTGTAGTTGTAGTTATATTCATGAAAATGCTGAATTGATCAGTAACAAGGTTTACTTTCGAACGTTGTGAATTTATTATTATTCTATTATCAGTAATTGTATCTAAACTAGTTGTACTTATAAGTCTATTATACGTAATATTAGGTTTATAGTTCGGCTTTTTATGCAATTGTTTTTCCAATAGTTCCGTGGTCATCATGTGGGAATCAGTAGTTGTTCTGCTATTTGATGTTAAGTTTGTCATATTTCTTTTAAATGTGTCACCATAATTTAATACTTTATTTTGTTTAGAATACTTTCTAGGATTTATTGAAATATAGTTTGAGTCTGTATAGCGTTGAGTATGTAGTATTGAAAAATCACTTATTTTGTCACTATATTTTTCCGTTGTCGTAGTATATTTATTACTGCTATTATTTAGGTTTTTTGAATACAATTCGCCAGTTTTGCTTAGTGTTCTAGATAAAGAAGCATTGGTATTATAATTTGTATATTTCTGGTTACTCCTTGTAGTATATTCATAATTCTGATTAAGGTAATCAAGCGTTAGTTTATTATAAAGTTGAGTCTGACCAATTATGCCGTCAGGTGCGTTTTCGGATTTGTTAATATAAACAGTGTTACTGGTATCTGAGCCGTTGAGAAAAGTTAGCATTGATTGCTGTGTTGACGTCATGCTTTGTGTTTTGTGAAATTCTTTAATATTCTTTGCTGTAGCGGTTTTACTGACTTCTGTGAGAACCGTCAAGGAAGGTTTTTTCGTTACCGTCTTTTTCTTGAGTAAGACAATCTTACCCTTTAATTTAGGCAAAATAGTGGATCCATAAGAAATATTATTTTTAAAAGTTTTAGACAAATCAAAAGATTTTGATGGTTTTGATAAAGTCGTTAATTTTATGTTTATTGTTATGGCATGTTTTGTGCTATTAAACGAAATTGGATAGCGTGAACTCACGATATAATGTTTGGAAGTATTTCGATTATTTCCAGTTTTATAATTATCAATTGTATAATTTTTTCCATTAACTTGTGTTTTCATGGCTTCCTCTTTTTTACCATAAAATGTTGCTGTTCGATTGAAACCATGCGCGTTATTAAAACCGTTGTTACTACAATTCGTTGAAGTTCTTCCATATGATGGTTGTATTTGCTTTGAATGGTTAGGGCTTAAGTACGTGTCATTTTGCAGCTCTTTTTTCATTTCATTATTTTCTTTTGGTTCTTTTAATTCTAGTTTTTGGTCATTCTTTTTACTTTTGAATTTTGTATCCTGTTTCATTTTTAAGTGAGGTAATTTAGCGGTAGTTATCATAAAATTGTCCATTTCATATTTCCTTACTTCGTTTAATATTAGTGATTCATTCTGTTGAGTAAAGATGTTAGACGTTTTTTTTGTTGCTACTTGATCGTTTTCCGCCATCGTTGTAGTCAAAAACCGTATATTTTTTAAAATGTCACTATTATAGTACTTATTTGTTTTGGCAGAAGTATCAGTTATAGTTTCATTAACCCTAAATGGTTTAGGGTTCAATAATGATAAATAAGTTGTTTTAGTTGCTTGACTCTGAGGTGTTATAAATAAAGATGGCGTTGCTTGTATACTAAAATAAAATTTGGTATTTATTCTTGGTTTAGAAGTTGTTAATATCAGTGTATGATTGAAACCTGTTAGTGGCTTTTCTAATGGTTTAGCTTTATTTATCTGATTAAGTATTTGTGGTGTTTTTTTTAAGTATTGGTTCACTGTCATTGACAAGTTTTTCCTAGTAATTATCGGTGTCCTTAATAGTGTAGGAGAGTTAACAGTTTCGTCATGACTAGTCTGCGACATTTGTTGAAGTGATGAATTTGACATTAGCTCTGATAATTTAACATACTTAGATGTGGTTAAAGGTAAAATTATTGATGCATTTTTATTTAACGACGTGGTAGGATATGTTATTTTTTGTCCTATAGTGATAAAATTCAGCGGTATTCTTGTTTTAATATTAAGGTTATCTGAATTATCTTCGGTAATATTATTGCCCGTATTACTTTTGTAAGCTTTAGTTGATGTTTTATTAATATTTACTGTTTCTTGTATGTAAAATGGCATTAACTTTACTGTAGTCATATTCTTATGAGAATAATCGTCATTTTTTTGCTGATAAATACGTATTAGTTGTTTTGAACTAGAGTGTGTTATTTCACGAGAAGAATTTATTTTTCCATCAAGAATTTTCTTTGTACGTAAATCTGAAGGTATGAAATACTGATCATAAGCATTTGTTACCTTCTCCGTTGTTATTGGGACTTTTACGTAAAACTTGTTTGATTGGGCTATCTTGTGACTGTCGTACAATTTAAGCTTTGAGCTTTCCAAAGTGTCAGTAGTCATTTTGAAAAAATGCTTATCTAAAAAACCATTTGTCACTACTGATTTTGCTTTATTATTTGCGGCGTTCTTTCCTTTGGCATTGATTTTCTCTAAATTTATCCCAATTTGATTTAAACTTCTTCTTTCGTTAGTTATATTTAAAATTAAATCTACTAAGTTATCAGTCTTTGAATCTCTTTTAGTGCTGGAGAAGATTTTGTCACTATAAGGAAGCAACAATGCAGAAGTTGAAATGTTTCCCATTTTATTGTGTAATTTAGTGATAGTCGAGGGAACAAGAGTTAATCGCAACAAAGGAGGAAGTTTGGTTGAAACAAATAATGCCATAGATGACGTTTTCATGTCTTTAATTTCTTGTAATGTGGCTTTTTCTACTGTATTAATAATATTTGAATATTTATAGGTTGCTTCAGCCGAGTCGTTTAAATTGAAATGAAATTCATACGAAAGCGTAGAAAGTGGTTTAGGTGTAGTGGACGTATCTTTTGATTTTAGAGGCAGATCACGTAGTTGTGAATATTTATCGGATGTATTATGCGATTTTGTGAATATATGGGAAATAGTAACTTTTTGTGAATTATTTTTATTTGTTTGACTTGTTAAATTTTTTGAAGACATGATAATGTCATTTACTGCAATTTGTTGATCTCTTGATGCTTCTGTTATAGAAATATTACTTATTTTACTCGTTCCGGTAAAATATTTTCTTATGTCATGTGACGTATTTCTTAAAAATGAATAATTTCTTACGTTTTGCGAAGTTGCAACTACACGATTGTATTTTTTTATTACATTTTTTTCCATAACTTCGAAGCTAGTATTTTTAATGTGTGGCTTAGTGACCACCAAAACGTTTTTAGAATGCTTACTCATTAAAATAGATTCACCTAAATGTTCTTGGTTTCTAGTTAATTCGCAGTTAGATGTTACTGTTACAGTCTCCGAATTTGATGATGTAACACTGTTGTTGTTCTTTCCACTAGGATAATTTAATGTTTGGGATGGAATTTGCTTCAACCATGATTTTGTTGTGAATGTTTGCAGAAATCTCGATTTGCCTAATGTCTGTATACTTTTTGCAAAACTTCTTACTTTTATTGTTGCTCTTGGGTCAATTTCATATACTTCATTATTTGTTATTACTTCGTCTGTTTTTAAAGCTCTAAATGGTTTTGACTTATGTCCATATATATCATTTAAATCAAATGCTTTCCGGCTTGTGATGGAATGAGTATCATTAAAACTCATTTTCTTTTCATGTACGTATGTGTTATTTGGAAACAGGAAATCAGTTGTAAAATCAACCAACATAGTGCGACCTGAGTTATAGTCATTGTTTAAATAATGGTTTTTATTAATTTTTCCCTTTTCTGTATATTCACTTTTATTAATTAATTTATTAGTATACGTCTTAATTAAGTTTTTAATTTTAGATACTGTTTCTTTATATTTTTCAACTCTTTTTGCACGCTGTTTATCCTTACTAATTTTTTCCAGAGAATCGATTTTAGAATTCCAATCAAATTTTCTTTTACATAGTGCATTATTTTTAGCACTGCAACATATGTTACTGAAGTAATCATGGTTATATTTTGTTAAAATACTAACGTATATTTTTATTGCATTGGTCTTTCTCAAAAGTTTGAAGGTTTTGAGTCTACTTTCAGTTAAAAATGTAAAAACTGATTTTAAGGTGCATTCGGATACATTTTTAGTGCTTGAAACTTTTTCATTTACATTTTTTGGTACATAAGTTGAGTCGATAAGGTCGATATTAACTGTTCCGTTACCATGAAGGAAATCATCTATTTCGTTAGCACTAATTAAAGTAGATTCTGCTACTGTTTCAGTGAAATTTCTATGAGAATTTAATGTTATGATAATAATGACAGACCTCAGTGAATTGTCATCAAATTTTCGCGCATTCTCAAATAAATTGTATTTTCTTATTTCATATTTATGTTGATCCTTTGTTTTTATTAATATATCATGGATTAGTTTCGTAAATTCCAAGCTTACTTCACCTTGCAAAACGGCAGTTCTTTGCATTAGTACGGATCTTTGGGTAATATGTGACAATTTTGTGATAGTATAGTCTAGGTTATCGTTAGTTTGACTTTTTACATTTTCACTATCATACTGTGAAATTAAGTTGTATATATCTTGTTCTAAGTTCATACAGGTTTTATTATATATTTTCTTATACAAGTTGAGATAGTATTGATTTGAATTGTCTTTTTCTTGTAGTGAGTTTTTTTCTTCAAACAACATACCTTGCTTCTTTTTGTTTAAAAGATCACTCATGCAGGTACAAAAGCTTTTCACCACACTAAATGTTACATTCAAAACATGTGTATTATCAGTTGCTTCATTAAGTGTTTTCAAAATTTTCTTTAGCACTGCACTCTCACTGATGTCTTCAAATTTTGCCGATTTACTGCTATTTACTTGCGAGTTGTTTTCCACACAAACAAAAAATAATATTGATAGAAACATTAACAGCGTTTCAACTTTGAAGCTCATTTTTGAGCAGCAATAATATGTTTATTTTTCGCGGTAACATGTTGACTTTAAATTTTCGCAGTGAGCATTAGCACAGTGAAAACAGAGCTGCTACGTTTTGTTATTGTTTTTCAACAGTGTTTTCGTTTCTAGTGAAAACGTGATTGCAAGACTCCGATAACAAATGCTTTTTCATTTTTTTTGAATTCGATATCACATGTTGTAATGATATTCTTAATTAAATGTTATATATAATTAAACATTTCAATGCATCAAGAGTCATATATAAAAATTTCGATTGTTTCACTATTGTCGTTTTAAGGACAGGAAAGTTGTTAATACTCTTCGTTTGATTTAGATTTTTCAATTTTTTTAAAACAATCAGTTTATTTAACATTTATTGACACACAAAATATGTATATTAGTAAATTGATACGTGAACATCGAAATTTGTGGTACGTTTATTAAGTATTTACACTAAAGGAAGGAAATAAAAGTTACAGCAATCTAAAGGTACATCATAGATATTAAGCACAAAACAAAAAAAAAACGTATTACATTTGACAGTGTGTGTAAGTATTTTGTTCACGCTCATTGCTCCTGGCTGTAGCTGTGTAATTGATAGATTTTCTACGGATAACGATACTAATAGTAATACATATTATAATGCAAAAAGGTGGAATGCCATTAGATTGGCAATACGCCAATGTAATTAGTCTACCTCCAGATTAAGAATTTCCAGAAGTTAGCAAAGTTAAAAAGCTATAATTTTAATGACAAAAATACAAATACGAGTATGTTTATAGCACGTCATAGTCATTCTGTCGTCTATTTTTTACAGTGGAAATATATTTTATATTACAAATATTCAACATTGTTGATATTTATAAAAATATTTTATAGTTCTTTAATGAAAAAATATAATAAATTAATTTATTTTGGATTATTTAAATCATGTGATTATATAAATACTAGTAAATCGAAATGTGAGTTAAATATATTTAGAATAAGTATAAAATAGAATAACTTTATACAATTATTTTATTAAAATATTATCTAGATTACAAGAATACTCGCTGAAAGCTTAGTTTACTTTTATGCTTTTACTATTTCTATGGAAGAAAACCTCTGTTCCGTGAAGGGTACTAATTTAAAGTTATAATTTACACTTTTAATATTTTATACAATGAAGTATTAAAACATTTCACAACATGGTAGCGATCACCTCATTGCCAGGGGTTATCGTCAAATCGTCAATCACTCTTGAGTGGTAAAATAAGTTATTTAGATATTAGTAATGGCATGGTAAGATTTCATTTGAAATTATGCTATAGAAATAACTAAAACAAACTAATCTATCTATTTCATCCGTCTACTTACACTAAAAGCTTTACCATTCTTGTTACTTTGCTAGCCTGTTGATATATGTCATTGAAGCATTGATTGTAAATGAAACGAGAAAAAATTTAGCGAGACTCAGCTCCTCTCTATCTAAAATCACACTGGTATTCATTCACCTGTTCAACATTTGGTGTAATGAATTGAATACATTTTAATTTGAATAGTAACTAACCCAATTATCCATCTCTTTCTGACGCTCCAGTAAGGTGGCTTGAAGCCTCGGGCCAAGATCTTCCATAAATTCCTTTACAATTTTTTTAGTATTTTCCATCTGTTGTTGGCTGACGATTACAGACGCGAACTCCAGGTAAGAGTCCATGGTAGCTCGAAGCTCGGGCACCGGAAGCTTTGGTAATTGGACATTCTAAAAAAATAACCGTGACAAAATGTTAAATAATATAATTCATCTTTTTATTTTGAAGTTGTCACCATGTTTCTAGTTGTGGGAAGTCTAGGTTTAAATATTTTCGAATATATTCAAATCCCCAGAGCATTTCCCATTTTCCCCCCACTATTTTATAAGGTGTGTGTGCGCGTGTGAGTGTATGTGCAAGTGTGTGAATGTGTGTCTATAATCTATATATATATATATATATATATATATATATATATATATATATATATATATATATATATATATTGATTCTTAATCGACACGTCTATGGGCACATTTACCATCAGGTTAACTGTGTGCTTGTTTGTCACCTTTATTCTATAAAAATGACTTTCTCACCTGGAAGTCCTCGTCGTCCGTGCCGTACACCTGCGTGCTGAGCCAGCGCTTGGACAGCGACAGGAATGACTCGCCCCATCCTGCGACAAGGTGCATTTAAACATGAACATATTGTTTTATAAAAGGTTATTACCCCTTGTTGCATATAAGTCCGTCTGTATTGAATCCAAGCTCTTATCTAGGTTCTAGGACTCCTTTCCTGACTAGAAACTCGCCTGGGCACACTGCAGTGCTTGCACTATGAAACTTTCCAACTCACCCCACAGAGGTGACAACGCATCTGTAGCGTTCCTTGTTTGAAGTTAGCTGCAGACTATAGTATTCACTTACCTTTGGGTGGACTGAAAGTTCGTTGTCAGCTTTATGAAAAAATCAGGAGTACACAGCACTGATTTTATTGCTGCTTTACAGCAGCAATAAAATCAGTGCTGCGTTTCGGTTTTAAAGATGGTGATGCTATAAATTAAAGGACATGCAATCTTAACATCGTTTTTTGACATTGACTTTAATGATGAAGACCTGCTTAAGGAAGATTTTTAAAAGTGCTTATACGCTTTCCTTGGCATTATCCGCCAATCAATATAAATGTGGTGCAGAAATAAAAAAAGATGTAAAAAGACGCGAATATAAGTTAGATAAATATGAAGTGGCTTTAATATACATTTCGTCCAAATATATCATAATTTATCAAAAGGAACGCTGGGTTGATATAGGTATTAAAATCTCTTTATAGGGACTCTAGTGCTTGTGTTAGGATCATCGGGGTTTACTCGGACTGGTTTGGCATCCATAAAGGCCTTTTTGCCAAAATTTTCCATGGTAGAGATCTAGGGTTAACCGTTCGCAGTAAATTTGACATTATACGAGCAACCCGGGTTCAATTCCTGTAAGCACCATTGAAATTGTTAATCTTAAGAGGCGACAGAGGGAAACACATCAGGAGATGAACAGCAGCATCTCTTTAATAACGACTAAAAATAAAAAACAAGCGCGGCAAATATGTTCCCTATGAGGGGGGTGGGGCAATGTTCACCAGCGGACTTTAGTAGGTGACGGTAGCAGTATTCAGATTCTGCAAATAATTGATACCTGTTCCAATTTTATTTAAACTTTATAAATAAATAGCGCAATATACGTTACAGTAACTCGCAATCTTCCCCAAGACCAAGAGCGTTCGAACGGCTTGTATTAAGACGTAGAGGCGACCTGTCCGAGGAAATTGAACTTAGACAGTTTTAGTGGTTAGTTATTGCCTTTCTAGACGTTTATTACAAACTACATACGTAAAGCTAGTACGTTGGAATTGACGACAAAAACAGTTTCAGTATTTTATAATAACATAATTCCGATTATAAATCTTTTTCGGGTAAACAAGAAAAAAAAAGCAGGTTAAAGTAACTAATAATAATAATATTTTTTGTTGAGAAATAAAGCCACAAACATAACACTATTGTAGTAATAACATTTATTGTAGATAAATTATAATAAGATGGCTAGCATAAAGGACCTAGACATAAGTTGATCCCCTGATTTTCATGCTAGAGTAACCTGTGTCATGAAAGTTAGTATAGTATAATGTTATTTATTTCTTTACTAGCGATTCACCCCGGATTCGCACGGGTGTTTCTGGGTCTCGATAACAGTACCACCTACCGGGTCTAATCGTGAATCTAAATCCAAGGACCATCATCGAAATCGATCCATATACATATGTATCAAATCAAATCACGATCAAATGTAGATATATATGGACTACAGCATTCATTTACCATCAGGTGGACTGTGTGCTCGTTTGTCACCCTTATTCTGTGAAAAAAATTGTAGCTTTTAGCAGCGGCAGAGAGAGAGAGAAAGAGAGAGAGAGAGAGCTCAACTAATCAATGTGCAGGCAATCGTAAGTGTGACCCATAAGAGATAGAAGAGATCTACAGATTTTAAAGACCGGTAAAAGGGTGATGATATTACGATAAGTTTGGTCTTATTCAAGTTTATAATAACACCATTGTCGTGGGAGCACTCTATTAAATTATTTAAATCCTGCTGCACTTTTAACTGTATCTGACCACTATCTTTTCCACTATACACGAGGCACGTGTCGTCAGCATACATGTATATTCTACAGTGCTTGGATAACATTTACCATATATAATGTATGCATTACTTATATATCCGATCGGACCACACAGAGCAAGTCGGTACACCAAATTTTACTTTTCCTATCCTACTATCAACTCCGTTTACACGGACTATAATAGATATATCTGAAAACGAAATGAAATGATAAATGTTTTATTAACAGAAAAAAATATACAATAGGTAATATCTATTGGTTTCCTCACTAGGCAAGCCTGTATCGAGGAAACCTGAGACCAAAGTTCACTAGGCATTATTTTACACATCTTATCAGACAATCTGTCTTAATATACCTACTAGCAATAAAAGAACTGCAACATAAAAAAAGAAAGAAATCTTTAACAAACACGCCAAGTTTTATATAACTGGAGTGTACTAACTATAATAATAATAATAATAATTTCTTTATTTGACACTTATAATTTCATACAACATCATTGAGCCCTGACTCCCAAACTAGGATAGAGTCAGTTCCTTCCCATTCTCAGTATTTACATTTAAAAAGAAAAATAAAATAAAATTAAACAACAACAATATTTACCTAAACATTTCACAAATACCATCAGTTAGCAAAAGTCAGTTTTTAACAATTCTTCTGTTTCCTCACATGATAGGGTGACCAACCATTTCAATATAATTAATTTTGCAGATGCCTATTTTTTATTTATAATATTACAGTGTTTTATGACTTTATTATAAATTGGTCTTTTAATAGATTCACCAAAACGTTGCGCAAATTTCGTATTGACAGAAGGTATGGATAGTTTATATACCCTGCGATTTATCAGTAGTCTGTGGTCATTGGAAGATAATATGTATTTATGTACCGCTAAAGACGTACTCAGCACAAAAAGTTGTCATACAGTAAGTATCCTCTATCTCCGGCATCATCGTATACGCTTGCAGTAGTGTATCTGTACGGTTTTCCTAGCAATGCCTTTAAAACTGCCCGCTGTGCTCTCTCAATATGTATTAAATATGTTTTGGATGCACATCCCCAACATGTGATGCAGTAAGCTATGAGCGATTGACAAAGGGCGTAAATATTCTAGGTTATGTTTCTAAATTTTTTTAACCAATTATATATTTTTTAATTGTAAAATTTTATTGGCCGATGAAAAGGAAAGATTTCTACAAGATGGAGCCATACTGCAACGATATTATGGTTGTAGCACGAATGGGTCGGAGCGACCGGGGTAGGACCACGCTCTCACGGAATACTAACGCAAAATAGGAGCTTAATGCTGCCATATTTTGTACGGTGAGTGTAGAGAACCGTAGACCTTTTATCCTGGAAACGAGGCATTCTATCTTAGTTCTCAGCGGTGACAACGCATCTGCATTTTGAATCTTAATCGAAGATAAATGAGAAATTAAGTTAACTTAACCTTCAGGTGGACTGTTACTCGTTTGTTACCCTTATTCTATAAAAAAGAGGCGTTTATCTTAACCATTAGGTCTGATGAAGTATTTGTAGCCTTTTTGTTGAAAACTTGTGTCCATCCCCTAAAATATTGTACGTGTAATCAGATGGATTGTTCGTTTGTCTGTCTTACATGGAGCTAACATTAAAAAAAGTTTATCTGAAACAAATCGTGAACGTAGGTCTCAAATATTAACAAGCTGTTTAATTTTAAATTAATGAACAACAAATTGTGAATATCTCTAGAGTATACGATAATGAAAACAAATCTGCTAGCAACATTAGAAAAACATATTTTATTTGTATAACAACATAGTTCCTTTGAAACAAATCCTGAATGTAGTTCTCTAATATTAGCTGTTAAAGTTAATGAACTACAAGTTGTGAATGGCTCTAATGGAGACGATAATGAATACGAATCCGTTAGAGTTGATTAGTTCTCGTAAGAATTGATGACCGCCGGCCGACCTCAGGGGGAGAGACGGGCGTTGTAGGGTGTGAAGCAAATTATTTTAGAATTAAATATTTTATTGGATTAAATCCCTACCCAATATAATTCAATCCGGTAGAAATTATAGTTTATGTATTTATTTACCACGTGCTCAATGGTGAAGGAAAAGTGGAAGACAAGGTACAGTTCCGGATTCCTAAACCGCTCTTAGAGGAGACATGTACGCGCAAGTGGAATGTACTTTTAACTGATTTTGTAGTGATTTGATATTTTTATGTGTCACATTATACATCTCATGTGATGATGCAGTTATAAGTGGATAACCACTAGGCGTCAGAAATATCTGTTTATGGTTAGATAAACGGATATTTCTGACATTGACTACAGAATGTGAAATTTTTATAGAATAAGGGCGATAAATGAGCACACAGTCCACCCGATGGTAAATGGAAGCTGTGGCCCAAAGACAAATTACATTAATTCTCCTGTAAGATTCAAAATGCAGAGGCGTTATCACTTCTGAGGATTAAAATAGAATGTTTCGTTTCCAGTAAAAACGACTCCGGTTCTCTACACTCAGCATACGAAACACAACAGCATGACGCTACTATTGCACGCTGTTATTCTGTAAGAGAGTGGTCCTTCCCCGGTCGAGCCGACCCATTCGTGCTAAAACCATAATATGGCTGCAGCGTGGCTCCACCACGTATAAGTTCGGTTGACGATGGCCAGTACCAAAGTCCGTTTGCTCGCGTTCTAAGAAATTTTCTCAGTTATCGTGTTATTTTAAGCTAAGTGGTTACGATAATTTTATTAGTATGCCCCAGAGCGTAATTTTATTCCCAAGTGATATAAGACGGTTCCCCTCGCATCGAGGGCTATATTACGTAGGAGATTGGATACCCTGACCGATTGACATGTCAGATCTCGATGTGCCTCCCAAGACATATGTCCCTTAATATATTTTTTTCCTTATTTATTTTAGTTCTAGCTTTCAGTTAGTAGTAATTAATTTTAACAATAAATAAGACCCGACTCCAAACAACAAAAAAGAAGTTATATTTGCCACCCTTAGCGGTGGAATTTTTT